CTACGAACAGGTACAGGTCAGGATGTATGTATGCAAGTATGTATGTATGCATGTGTCTCATACTCTCTCCCTCTCCATCTTTGTTATATATATATATATATATATTTATTTATATATATATATATACTTACATTTACATTTACATACACATGTAAATATACATTACGTGTCTCTGTGTGTGTGTGTATCAACACTCTTACAGGGACCATAACGGCGCAAGGCAGATGCACGTTCCTGGGCCAAGCCGCTTCCCAACGCGGAGTCTGGTCGGACCGAACGACAGTCAGGGCCCTAAATGATTACCAATACTACTTTGGGCGTTCCTTCATGTAATTATAGCATAATGGGCCCTAAAACCCAATTCTAATTATTAAGGCCCCTGTATTACAGTCACTGCTTGCGCGGGAGTCTTCTTTGCATGGGATCTTCTCTCGGTTTCATTGTCCCCGGCAAGCCCTCGACGAGGCTACAGCTACCCCTCAGGCTCATTGAGGCTGCATGAACGTGTCAATGTGTGTTGCTGAGAGTCGGCATAAACCAACATCACAACGCTCTCAACCTCAAGCCCTAAACCCTAAACCCTAAACCCTAAACCCCTAAATCCTAAACCCCTAGAACCCTAAACCCTAAACCCCAGATCGAATCCCTAAACCCTAAAGCCCGGCCTTAACTCGAGTCCCTAAACCCTGCAACCCAAGATCCGAAGTTCCCATAATCTAGGGACCTGATTAAATTAGGGTTCCTTTAAACGGGGTCTACAAGGGTTACTATAAGGGATCTATAAGGGTTACTATAAGTGAAGATCAGGTCTTACCGCAGATGATGACAAAGGTCCATCCATTGCAGCCTGACTCTAAAAACAATCCTTTTTCGCACGCAACCAAAAGCTTCAGTCTGAGATCGTGATGTACAAATGGTGATCTCCGTGCTATGCCAGTGCGGTACACTTCTCGGTTTTGTGTACAGTGGTATGCTACTATAGCTTTACATGGCCAAGGGGGCATGTGATTCCGTAGCCTTCCCCTGGATCCGAAGTAGCAACGCAGACAAGAGCTTCACTATACATGCAAACACTTCGCTGTCGCAGTCATCAGTCCTGACTTTCCGCACTCCTCCTTGACCTCGACGCTAGGCTGGGGTCACTCGAGAACTCTGCCCCGAAGTGCTGAGGGTGGTATTGAAAGCCCTCTCATATTCTTGTGCCCTCTCAAGGTCTCGGCCGTAATCAGGAGTCTTATCAGGATCATCAGCAGCCCTGTGACTGCAATACTGGCACAGCCTTCGTCTCTGAACTCGTTCCAAGGTTCCACGATGCCTAAACGCATGACAGTCACCGTAGACGTGGAAGCACTCATTGTCCGGCACCACAAACACTTCTTCTGGAGGTTCATGTACGTAGCGTAGTATCACTCTGGTACCGGGAGCTTGCACTGGCGAAAACGCTGCCGTTTGAACAGATGCATCAACCTGCTCTTTGGTCCCTTGCGCCAGCCGTCGTAGTAGCCGCATCCTCTCTTCGGCATTCGGATCCGGAGCACTCTTCGGCTCAGCTCGTGGAGGCTGAGGTCGGTCGATAAGACTCCGCGCTTGTTGCTCAGCAGGTGTGCGGCGGGCATCCTGAGCACGCCTTTCTGGCCTTGTTTCGAGCCTTACAGCAACCTCCCTCTGAATAGCCTCAGAAGTAGCATCTCTGAGTCGCTGTAGCCTCCTCAAGCGTCTGGCACTTGATCCAGGAGACGCCCTATCGTAGACAGTCCACGCAATCCACTTCAGAGCTTCCCACGACACAACACCCAGTAGCACCAGCAGCCACAAGAGCACCCAAGTAAGCAAGCCATAGTCAACTGACACGCCACTCCCATAGACAACCACTCCTTGTTCCTCAGTTACACGCTCACCAGAAACTGCTTGCGCCAGCACCAGCAATGCGACTAAAACCTTAGGGAGTGGACTAGGGGTGTGAATGCTGCTGCTGCTTGCTTGATTGTTGCTGCTGCTGCTCGCCTGACTGCTTCTGCCACCATCACCTGGAAGTTCTCGCTGACCATCACCTGCTTGTAGCTCTTGATTCTCAATCAAGCCAATGAGGCCACATAGCGCTCTCATTCGCGCTGAAGAAAGTGGTTTCGTCAGGAGATCAGCTGGTTGAACTTCCCCACTGCAATGGTTAAACTCCACAATCCCCTTGGCAATCAGCTCGCTCACCCAAGAACTCTTTAGGCGCAAATGCCTCGTCCTCCAGCTACATGATCCTTTCGCGATTGCCAAAGCCGAAGTGCTGTCGGAGTGCATCTGGAGCTGCAAGGAAACAACTCCGATATCGTGCAGCAAGGCCTGAATCCCTTGCAAAGCCACCAACCCTTCCACTGCTGCCTCAAGCTCTGCTTCCGCTGTGCTCAGACTAATGCACGACTGTCTCGACGATCTCCAAGCAATCACATTCCCGGCCAAGAGCACAATCCAACCAGTGTGGGATCTGCTGGCATCCGGTGCAAACGACGCGTCTACAAACCCAGTCAGGTAGGGAACACAGCTCTCGTACAGCAACTGTCGGCCAATGGTCCGTTGAAGATAGCCCAGAGTCTTCTCCCCGATCTCAACAGCGCGCCTCGGAGCCCGCGTTGCTAGTGAGCCGATCAGCGAGCACACATATGCGATGTCTGGTCGGGTTCTTTGGCTAATCCACAGTAGTTCGCCAGCAATCTGTTGAGCAGCTCGTACTTCACCCTCGTTTGCAGGGCCCTCGTCGTCTGTCACCACAAAACTCGCAGCCTCCTTGGCAACAGGCACCAAATCTCTCCGCCTTGATGTCATTTCATGGATGCGGAGAAGCTCCTCAATGTATGCCCGTTGCGTGAGCGCAAAGCCCTGGCTTGTAAAGGAGATCTCGATTCCCAAAAAACGGATCTCACCCTCAGTCGCCAACTGAAGAGGGCTGGTTTTCCAAACAGCCTTTATTGCTGCTGCTAGCTCTTTGATCAGCTCTGTTCGCCCGCACAGGAGCAGGTCGTCAACATAGACAACGAGGATCCCGATCAGAACCGAGCCATCCTGTAGCACAGACCACCACGAAGGTTCAACTCGGCCCTGCATAAGCGTCACACGCTTGCCGTCAAACACCAACTGGATTTGGGCCAGCAAATCGTCCCTGTAGGCTCCCCATAGCTTCGGACTTTCTTGTAGGCCGTAGACTGCATGCGTTAACTTCCACAACTCGCCTGGTCGAACCAATCCCGCTTTCACAAGGATTTTTGGAGGAACCCCATACACCAAGGGTGCGCCCTTCACTGCCCGCAGGGGAGTCTGCAAAAACGCAGCAACGATGTCGATGGCCCCGAGATTCCAATTAAAGAACCTTGCCAGAGCGATGGCGGCCCGAACCACTTCTGCCGGAGCGGTGCTAGCAAACACCTCCGATGGGCAATGCGAAGCCATATTCCCACAGATCACAATGCGCGATTTGCGCTTGAAGAACTCCGTGGGCTGCTCCTCCTCGGCCGGAGGATCTGGGGGCTTGATGGTATAAACCACCTTCATCGGGATCAACTGTCCCCTTCCGGAGCTTAGGTCTTCCCGAACTTGAGGATCGTCTCCCATAACTTTATCAACAGCGTGGTCTAACGTGTTCACCTCCTTCTGCAACGCCGGGATCCACTTCTCAAACACAGCCGCTACCTCCTTCGGATTCACGGTATAAACCACTGACACCGGAGAACTCAAAGCATCCAAGATCTCCTCAATGCCATCGGTGTAGGTGACCTCTGCTTTCTTGATGGAGGGCCGAACATCATCACTGGAAGATAGCGTTGCTGTAGCTGTAGATTCATTGTCCAGCACCAGATGCATTTCCCAATCCTCCCAATCTTCACCGGGAATCGGGTCACTTTCACTCACATTGCAAGCTTGCGACGACGTAGAGGACTCAGAAGCCTGAAGTTCCCTTTTGGCAATGGACCAATCACACTTGAACAGGTACTCGCCATCAGAGGTAGGTATCGTTTCCTGCCACCTCCTCCTCGAAGTGGAACGGCTTCAGCTTCAATCCCTTTAGCTACAGGTCTCACCGAAGACACCGACAATGCATTGATGTAAACCTCAGCCGGGGCCTCATCATCCTCAAGCGGCAACGGGAAATCCAACGCCCACAACATCTCTCGGTCCAGTCTCGGTACTGAAGCCAGGAGTGCCGGGGTGTACCCGACGATCACGATTCGCTCCCCTTTCCATGGTAGTACTGCATGACGTCGGTGGGGGTCGAACGAGAATACTCGCCCTTCTTGAAGTGGAAATGCGCAACCATATCGTGCACGGCCTTCTCCGGACAGCAACTCAATAACCTTTCCAGAGACCACATCTCCATCTCTCAACTCCATCCAAAGTTCACCCCCTCGCCTCGGCATACTGATTGGGAGCAAATGATTCATGGCGCCGAGAGCATTGTTGCGGTCAATGTGTACTTCGCGCTCATTATTCATGGACACAAAGATCGCCGCATATTCCGCATCCGACGCTCTATCTTGCATCACCTTGTTCAGCAGCATGGCGAACCAGGGTCGCTCCACAGTGGACTTCGTGACTCCAATTCGTCCACCATGGCGAAACATCCCATACACACGCTCATCTTCTGGTAGTAGTCGCGCAACATCCCGGACCAAGCACTCTGCTGCTTCCAGGTTCCAGCTCTGCAACAGCACCTCCGCCCTTTGCTGGAACTCGCCCTCATCGAACACCTGAGCCTTGGACACTGCAACCACATCACCAGGGCCAGACGCCTTTCCACGCACTCGCCGTTCGGGGGGTCCAGGTAGATCTGCTTGAACTTCTTCTTCAGGTGGCCCTGGATCATGTAAGCCCGCTCGAACATGTAAAGTGTGAACAAAGCATTCTCCTTCTCCATCACTAACATACACCAAGTGGCCTTTGCTGAGACTGTCGGACAAACCCACATAGACTCCAGACAGCCACCTTGGCGCAAGGTCATCAAGCTTTGGTCCATCCAAATGACGCCTGCGAACCAACACTTTAGAGCCATACGGGGCAGCGAGCTTTGGTTCAAAGCCGAGAACATCTCCTCGCTGCATAGAGGCTGCCACGCTGATTGCGGAAGGCCACAAACGTTGAGGGAGTCCTGCTGATAGTAGTAGCGCTCTCGCCCTCTGCTTCAGCCATCGAATCGTTGACTCTGCTGTGCCATTCGTCTGGTGGACACCTGCTTCTGACGTAGTCACTCGAATCCCCTCGCCCTTTAGCCATTGGCGAGTTGCCCTGGCCCTGAATTCCATGCCCCGATCGGCATGGAAACGCAGCACTGGTATATTCAGCGCCCTGCAGTAGAGGATCACATCCTGGACCGCTTCAAGAACCGTAGGGGCTTTATCATCTTTCAACCCACACGCAAAGATGAGGTTCACCAGCTCCGGGCCACCCAGGTCACTGTCCTCCTCGGGATCTCGCCTAGGCACCTCTTTAAGCTCTGGCTCTATATCCTCACCTTCTTTTTCACGCGGATCTTCTCCTCCTGGGTCCCTTTCTCCTCCACTTGCTGGGGCCAGCCCGTCGTCCTTTTCCTCGTAGTCTTCCTTGCTCATCTCGCCAGGGTCGTAATCGAGCCACACGCCCCGGCCGTCTTCCACGAAGGACTTAGGAACTCGTAGCTTCGCGGCAAAGATGTACTTGAACTGCCGCGGAAAAGCTCCTCTGCCATCAGGGTCCACACCGCCGACCTTGACTGCACCTGACAGGTCGGCTGAAAGCACAAACGCCGACGGGTGTTCGGCCCTGGAATGCCGGCGCCCTGTGCCCCCGGCTTGGACGCAGACTGTGCAGTCGGCGCGAAACGGAAGATGCCCTCGTCGTACATGGTCTCGCCACTGCTCTGCGCTCATTTTCAACATTCTCGGAATCTTTCCCCAGTCCCGGAGCACAATGACCAGGTGCTCGTAGAACTCCTGTGGCCAAACACACCCTGGAGCTCTTACTGGAGGAGGTCCATCTGAATGCCACCGTAGGCGAAGCCCATCCAGGTGTCGAAGTGGTAGATTGGTCCCCACTGTAGTATGCCTAGTGAACGCTTTCCCCAAAGCCGCCATGTCGAAGCTGTAGGCTTGTAGCCCCGCTTCCATTGCGTACTCTGACCACAACGAAGTCCTCCACAAGCTCACAACATCCGGGTACAACGGATCCTGAAACTTCAAATATCCACGCGGATCCCGAGGGTGCTCAAGAAGAAAAGCAACCTCCTTGCTCACGGTGGGGTCGTGCGGAGCTCGCAGCCTTCCTGCCGTGGCGAGGGCATGAAGGTAGATCATTCTCGTGATGAGCTGCGTCTCCCGGTTCACCTTGAAGAGGTCACTGTCGGATTGTCCTGGCCAATTTCCAAACAGAAACTCATTGGAGCGGACCGGTTCCGGGCCACCCACGACGTGGCGCGAAATCATGAAGGTACTCTGAGGCGGTCCTCCAACAATCGCCCCGATCCTTCCCATCCTGGCTCCCCACTCCAACGCTCTCCAGGTACTCGCCCTCAAAACATCATGAGTTATGCCCCTCTCAATGTCCAGCTCCAGAATCGTGTACCCGTGGCCCTCCAAGTGCCGAAACTCTCGTCGATCTGCCTTTCCTGCGTACAGATGAACAAGCCACTTGTCCGAAGCCCATAACCGCTTTCGAGTTTTCCTGTTCAGGTGCTCCAACCCTTTCAAGGCTTGCCACCCATTGGCCTCCGGCACTGCATCCACCAGACCAGCCTTGCACTCACGCGGAACTTCTTGAAGGAAGGGCGCGCTCTCCACCGCCTTCAACGCCTGGGACGACAACCCTCCATCAATGTAGGAGAGCAAATAGTCGAACCATGTTCGCTCCATCGCAAGGGCAGCTGCCTTCACCTTGGTCCGGGTATCTTTCGTGTTCTCCCGTAGCTCTTCCAGTCTTGCATCTTCCAACTGGGAGATCAGCTTCAAGGCTTCCTGCTCCGTAACTTCGGGACACCCGTCACGAACGCGAAGAACAATGACTTCCCCATTCTTGCCTTCCAACTTGCACTTGGTCTTTCCCCAAGTCATCGTATATCCCAGCTGACTTACCAGGGCACCCAAGGGCACGATTGGCAGAGTTGAGGATGCCGCTGTCATCGAATTGATGGGCACCAGGATAGTGCCGGCCGCATTCATGCGAAGGCTAATGGATTCACCACCCGCCAGGTTCACAGTCACCGGATCAGACTCTTCCCACTCCTCCTGGGACGAGGCCCTCCTCAAAGCATGCGTGGCTCCAGAATCAACCAAAGCAAACATGGCCAACTCATCTGAAGCCGCCTCCGTCCTCTTCAGCGCCAATACATTCATTGAAGGTGCTTTGGGATTGGGCGGCTGCGCCCCTGCCACTTTCGCCGCTGCCTGCAGAAGAGTCTCCAAGGTCCAGACAGGTTCTCCCGCGACCACATGGGCTGAAACACTCGGCGATTTTTCCCCTTCAGGCTCAACGCTGGTGATCTTCGGAACATTCGCTGGGGAGGTACTCGAAGGCGAGGCTGAACCATGAGCCGGAAACCCAGCTCCAGCGCTTGGTCTCCCGCCTTGCTTGGGTGTCTTGGTGGGGCAGTCCTTTTGCCGGTGCTCTTCACTCCCACATACTAGACATTTGCGCGCTCGTTCGGCCTTGCTCACACTGTTGAGATCGTGTGTATATGGACATCGCTGGCCCCGTCGGCATCCTCCTTGCTTCAAGAAGTATTTACACGGGGGCTTTGATGGACTTGCCGAAGAAGCTGAAGGACTGGAAGGCGAGGTAGTCATGGCCTTGATTGCAGGTGTCTGAACGGGTAAAGCAGCCCTCGCAGCAATCATCGATTCAACTTCCGCCTGCAGGTGCTGGTGGTACTTCACAACGTCCATGAGTCCCGGCTGCCCGTCTATCCTTAAGCTCGACCTCAACAATTGGGTGCGGAAGTGGGTGTCCTGGTTCTCCGCAACAAACTTTGCCGTCACGGTTGTAAGGGCCTTCGCAAGGATCGTCCCGTCTGGAACCATCATATTCAAATCCTTGCATCTCTGCACCCATCTTGGCCAAGACCGCAACCATGTCAAGGCGTCGTCCACTGTGGTGGGCTGCGTCGGGCTCTGAAGGTTTCCGAGCACCGCAGAGCGCTCATTGGCACCTCCAGGTTGGTAGCACGTGTGCAACCTGAAAAGCATGAGGGGTGCACTTTGGACCGCTCTTCTTGCAATCAGATCCAATCTGATTGCTTCCACAAGGCTCTGAAGGATCAGCGAACACGCCCGCGAGTTGATCCTGGTCCACCTAGCGGACGTCCATGCTTCGTGTCCAGTAGGCTCAAGCTGAAGTCGCTCAAGAGGTGTAGCTGCCAGCCATTTGGAATAGGCTTCACGAACAAGACCTAGAACCCCAGCCCACCAAGTACCCGAAGCAGCAGAAAGGTCTTGCATCGGCACTGCTACCTGCGCCAGCCAGTCCTGGAACACGATGCCAGCGTTCGTGCCCTCCGGCCCCGGTAGCATCGGGAGGTTGGTGACGTTGGACTTGACCTGCTCAGGCGAATCATCCCTCTGTAGTGACTTGGCTTGCAATTCCTGGAGGCTGGTCAAGTTCTTCGTTAGGGCGTCCAAGATTGCCATAGTCGTAGGGTCCTCTACTGCACTTTCTCTCGCGGGATCTGCACTTGGGGCTTCTACTTGAGGTGGTTGTGCATGTCGTCCTTCTTGTGGAGGGGCTACTCTGCGGGATTGAAATTCTTCCCACAGGGCTCCAAGCGGATCGCGCCACGGATCTGGACGCCCTTCATGCCCACGAGAAGGCTCGCCTGGAGGTTCGAAAACGCGTCCTTGTTGAGAGGGGGATCTACTCGAGGCTCCTGCACACTCTCAGGTACTGTTACAGCTTCACGAGGTGGTTGTGCCTGAAGTTGCCGGTGGGCCTGCGCAAGCTGTTCATTCAACCGAACGTTCTCTCCCTCCATGATCTGCAACTTATCCAGTAGTCCTCCGAGCTGTCTCTGCACCTCTGCTTGTATTGCCTCTGCTGGGATGCTGCTGCTGCTAGGCGGTGTGTGCTGGTTGGGGTTTACGGGATTACTATAAACCCTAAAAACTCCTTCTCTTCCACATGGGCCAGCACTTGGCCTTGGCAGTCCAGAAGTACCACCAGCATGCTCATCAACGTTCATGTTCAACAAGCGAGGCCTGGGAGGCGACGGTATGGGGCTCGGTAGCCACTGAACCGCTGGTGCCTTGAAGAACTCTCCAAGGCGGGTCACCCAACCTGGGAGGTGACCCTGAAAAACTGGTCTCGCTCCGCCACCGCCTGGTCCAAATGACCTTGTTGATCGTGGCGTGTGGTAGTCTCCAGCGAAACCTTCTCCACTACCATCATAGAAAGACGCTCCACCCCGCAACTCAGAGTCACGAACAGCTGATCCACCTCCGCTTGTGCCGGCTTGGCCTGCAATGTCGGCGCGAGTCTCTGATCCCTGTACGACAACTCCTGCAGCAGGGGTCTCCACACGTCCCCCATCTTGATCATCTCCATTTCCAGACAAAGTCGGAGCTGGCAACAAAGACCGTGCCTGATCTGCACCTTCACTGCTCTTTCCTCCACCCTGTCCAGCATCTTGCCCGGGTTCGGATCCGACAGCAGCTGCCAGACCCGAGCCTCGGGCTCCGGTTTCCGCCTCCACTCCTTCCACTCGAGGAGCTCCAGCATCCACCCCATTCTGCAGCGGAGCGCTTTCTCCAGCTTGGGAACTCATAACCTGAAGATCAGGTCTTACCGCAGATGATGACAAAGGTCCATCCATTGCAGCCTGACTCTAAAAACAATCCTTTTTCGCACGCAACCAAAAGCTTCAGTCTGAGATCGTGATGTACAAATGGTGATCTCCGTGCTATGCCAGTGCGGTACACTTCTCGGTTTTGTGTACAGTGGTATGCTACTATAGCTTTACATGGCCAAGGGGGCATGTGATTCCGTAGCCTTCCCCTGGATCCGAAGTAGCAACGCAGACAAGAGCTTCACTATACATGCAAACACTTCGCTGTCGCAGTCATCAGTCCTGACTTTCCGCAATAAGGGTTACTATAAGGGTTACTATAAGGGATCTATAACGGTACCATAATAATGTAGAAACCTGATTAAGAAACCTTTGGGCCTTTATCGAGGCTCCTTATGTGAATCCTACTATGTTGGGGTTATGGGCCCAGGGTTGCTTAATCAGGCTCCTACATTACGACGTCGGACCGCTGCTGGGAAGGGCAAAACAAGGCTCCAGCCTGTAATCCCAGTGGCTGCCTGGGCAGGTCAGGTTTAGGTGTTTGGGGGTTTAGGGGTTCATGGGTTTAGGGTTTAGGGTGTCAGGTCAGTCTACGGCTAAGGGCTTGCAGTCTTAGAGTGTTGAATTTCGCGTTCTTGGTTCAGGGGCTTGGAGTCAGGAGCTCATGGTATAGGGCTCCCAGCGCTGCGACTAGAGTTTATAAGTCAAGCACCCAAAGGACAGCTTTTCTTCTTTAGACAAGGGCTGTCATCATTCGCACTGGCTGTTTCGTCAGCTCTCCGATTCAGTCATCAGTTCTTGCCTGTGATCCTCAGGCATAATTACTATTATTATTACTATCATTATTATTACTACTATTATTATTGTTACTATTAATTATTAATACTATTAATATTTTTATTATTACTATTATTCTTATTACTATTAGTATTATTGTTACTATTTGTACTCCGAGCAGATCGGCACACTCTTAAAGGTGCACCCCTGTTGCTGCTGTTAGAATTCAAACCAGACCTCAAGCTACCCTAAACAAACCAGACCTCAAGCTACCCTAAACCCTAAACCCTAAACTACTGCAAAGTTTATTACACCTGCACCTGCTCTGCACTAATGCTTGATTATGCTGCTACGCATGCATCATTGTTGCAGGCTGCATTCATGTTTGACATACTAATCCTCGTGTTGCTGCAGAAACCTTCATGGGCATCACCGTGTTCTTCATACTCCTGCGGAGGGTCTTGTGTCTTGTTCGCTTCTTCCTCTGAGTTTCATCGGAAGCCTGTAAACACGGACTCAGCATCGGAATGACAAAGATAACATGCAGCCGCAGCAACAAAAACAGCTTCGACGAGAAGAGCGACTGGTGCTAAGTGGCCAGCTTCGGCGTCTTCTGATTTACTCCGTAGCCTTGCAAGGTCATCGGGATGCTTGGTTCTGTACGGTCTACCCTAAACCCTAAACCACATCTTCAGCCGGAAGTTTTTGTCAGAAGCTGTCAGCAAATCAGACGGGGTCCCTCTGGCGAGTCTCTTTTCTTGGCAGCTTAAATACAAGTAGCCGTCATTGCGGGCACCGTAATGGGAACCACATTCCAGAAGAAGGCTGTGGCACCAAGAGCCATTCCAAAAAAAACAGAGAGACAACAGAACGCCCAAAGCCTCAAGCACGACTGCAACTGTAACTGGTGGCAAAACAACGAGAAGCTGGGAGTTTGCCACGGTAGGGATCCTACCTTTCTTCTTTGAAGATGGCACCAACTATGCACCGTTATCCTTGCTCCAACAGGTGCTGACTGTCGCTTTGCAGAAACCCCCTCGCACAACATAGACTACTCAAGCTCATCCGGAAAATCCGAAGAGCCCGCCCATAGAGCTGTCCGGAGAACAAGGCGTCGGGCCAGAGCATTATTGCGCTGTTGTGTGCTTGCAATAAGACGAGAACCGCATTCTGCAGGTCTTAGATTCGACACTGAACCCGACAACTCTGGCTCCCGGATTCCTCGGAATCCTTGCGCAAGGTTAGGGCCAACAATCTTTCAATAAAACTAAACATCACGCGCACTGCTGAGACCCGCGCGCAAGTGCACCAAACGCGGCCTCAACTGTTACTTGCTACAGCATCTTCCTGGTCTCCAGGCTTTACAAGTTTTGTGCTCTTCGAAGTGGGCGAGGGGCTTAACAAGGGTTTGGGCACGGACCCCTGAGACCTTGGTTCTAGGATGGATGTTCTACGGCTCTCCTGAAAAAGAGGTACAAAAAAGCAGCCGGACTGTTGCGCTATGCCCTGGGAACCCACAACAGGACAGAAGACAAAAGAAAAGCTAGCGCTGGAAACCAGAAGAAAGTGATGGCTCACGTAAGAGGCCCAATTCCAACAAAAGCTGCTTTCTCGTAGCTGATAAAGGTTTACTTGTGCATCATGTACTCCCACGGTGCGGCATCGACATGACCACAATGCAGCACCATGCCGAACCAAACCCGTGGCACGTTGTGCCCGAATCCATTGATCGGCCTATACTAATTACTATCACTACGATTATACTATTCTTACTATTATCACTATCATTACTGTTATTATCTGTGGTTCCAACTCAGTTCCACGCAATTGGCTGGGATGTTTCTGAAGCTCGCAGAAACGGGTGTTGCCTGGATTGAGGCTCTGGAGGACGCGCGGTGAACGCCAAGAGCAGCTAACAATAGCCAATTCGGATTTATATGCATACTAACCCATTGTGGAACGAGCACATGAGCACGAGAATGTGTTTTGGATGGGGCCAACAACCCGACTCAGGACGAGATCAGTTACACATCCGGGAGCGCAGGTGCTCGAGCTCACTAATCAAATTCTGCTCTGGCATCGTGGCACTGGCCGCATTCACTGATTCTCTCAACAAAGCCGACGGGATTCTCCTAGAGTGCATTACTTGCTGGGGGTAGCTCAAGCTGCCGAAAGCACGGCAACAACAGGAGCTGTAGTGATGTAACAAGCACCGAAGAAAGTCAAAAGATCGAAGAAAGTCAAAAGCTAAACGTTCGCCTAAACCCTCGACCTCTGCCTAGATCCTAGACTCCTAAGCCCTGCTCCAAAGCCTAAAAAATTATAACCCCGACCCTAAGTCTACTATAGGGGCCTTAATAATTAGAAAAGGGTTTGGGGGTTTATTATACTATAACAATAGTAAGGAGCCCGCCAAAGGAGTATAGGTAATTATGTAGGCCCCTAGAGTAATCTGCAGGAAGGCCAAACTGCTTGTTCCAAAAGCCGGGGGTCCCCGCACTTGCCCTCGGCTAAGCATGCAAGACCATCCTGCTTCGTGGGTTCCGTCGGGGTGAGGCTGCGGTGGAGAGTGGACCCTAAACCCCCCCCCACCCCAAGCCCTGAACCCACGACAAATCATATTAGGGAACCCTAGAAAGGCAGGTTCCTTAGGGTCCAGGTAAGCCCTAAACCCTCGGGACTGTGGCGGGTAAGGGTCGAGGTGGGACCCTACTTGGAAGGGCGGGGCACTTAGTAAGTAGGTTATAAGTAGAGTTATAAGTACCCTAAATGCCCAATTATAACCCTACTAGGAACGACTTACTAAGTCCCCTGCCCCTCCAAGTAGAGCATGGCAGCGCAGCAGTTTTGAGGTTTTCCTTTGAAAAAGTGGTACACGACAAATTAGAATAGGGGTTTTGGGCTACAGTCTACTTGTACTCGAATAAGGAACCCTAAGCAATGTATATAAATAATATATATATATATATATATATGTAGGTATGTGTATATATATACATATATATATATATATATTTATATTTATATGTCGTACTTAGAGACTTAGTCAGTCTTCCATATTGCAGTCGAGGCTGTGACATGACCTCCAGACGAGAAACCAGGAACTCGTGCAAGGACGATTGCTGCTGCCCACTATACGGGAGCTTCCGAAAATAGGGGACCCTAATATAGTACCCTAAATAGTATGCTCCTAATAATACGGACCCCAAATAAGGTACCCCCAATTTTCGGAAACTCCCATACCTTTATGATAACAAAACGGCTGGGGAGGGTGGTACTGACTGTATAATAAACCTATCTAGGAAACAAAGGCGAGAACATTAATGGCTATACGGCGGCACTGTAAGGGGTTGCTTCCATCAGCCTTGATGATACTGATGATGATTGTCATTGTCTGCATCGATCTGAGTAGTGTTCATGCATCAGTATGAATTCGGGCATTTCTGAACTAATCAAAAGTACCCCGAATATGCCCGACTCACGCCGCGCCCTCCTGACCCAAAAACCTGGAAACTACTATAGGGGCCTAAGGAATTCCTTTACCATTTTGGGGGGCTCCTTGTTATAGTTAATATGTCTTACCCCAAAACCCTATTCTAATCACTAAGGCCCCCAGATTAGCAACATGAAGCCCCATCGCCTGAAAAAAGCCACACAAGGGAGTTTCCCCAAAATAAGGGACCCTAATATAGTAGCCTAAACAGTAGGATCCTTATTATAAGGTTCGGAAACTCCCAAAGTAACAAGAGGTCCTTGCCGAGGCCGGACACATACTCTGCTGAGATGAGATTCCCCTGCCAGATGCGCGCTGAAACTGCTAAGGGTTCCTTCGAAGGGGTACTATAAGATCTATAAGGGATCTATAAGGGTACTACGTATAGTATAGGTGCCTTAAAGATTAGAGTCTCGACGTTGTGTTTTGTGGGCTCCTTTTTCTCACTGCTGTTGCGACTTTGAAATCCCCAAGTTAGTCTCGACAGCTTAGGGCCTGGGGTTTATGGGGCTTTGGGCTACTGAGTTTGAGGTGTTGGGTTGTTTACGGCTACGAAGACGTGAACGAGAAGCTTAGAGGGTTAGGGCTCAACGTTCAATGAACCTGTTCCTTCGGTGGCAAGCACAGGCTGAAGGTGTGCTATTTGTGACGCCGGGGCACCGGAGTTGCAGA